CAGTTTGTTTGTGTGTCCATAGTCTTAAGAGAAGAATTTCAGAAGTCTACTTAGTGTTGACTATAAACAGGATACTGTACGATTACATTGTAACACTGTTTTCTTTCTTCTTGCATCACTCTGATGAATGAAATGAACTACTTTGTTAAGTATACGGACGATCTAACTATTTCAATGTCTGTTAACCCCAGCTAGACTGTAATAAGATGAACAGCTTTCTATCAGGAGTTAGCAAATGGTCCTAAACTAAATCCTTCCAAATGTCAAACTGTTAATTTCAGTTTCCAATGTAAAAGAAAGTTCGATGAAGCTGTTAATCCCTATCACCGTTGCAAAATTGATGATACTGACATAGAAATCAAGTCTCATGTTAAGTATCTTGGATTAATTCATTCTTCGGTCTGTCTGGATTCAACATAGAACTTGCCACCGAAGTGCAGCAGTTCGAGTTGCCACGTTCCAAATAGCACACAAAGGTAGACAAGAAGATGAGTGAAGAGAATCAATAGAGTTTGACAAGTATAAGAGTGAAACAAAATGGGTAATGGTAGAAAGGAATATGAAAGATTACAGAGACTGAATACATCTGCGCCATTGACAACGATTTTGAGCCATGTCACCTATTGTCTCCAGCCATTGATTCCTAGAGTCCCGAGGGCCCCAACCCGGAAGTCTGCATCTCCCTACCTGACTCAGTTTAACTGTCAAGGATTTCATGGATTGATGAGGCCATGTTTTTGTTTGGCCACCACTGGCTCTTTTCCAACCTGCACCTATATCAGCTAGTAATGCCCGTCGGGGGAGGCGGTGGTTAGGCATGCGCAGCACGTGACCTAGCCATCTCAATCTATGTAACTTTATAGCCTCGTCGATTGATTTTCCCTCTTTGCCCAACACTCTACGCCTAACGTCAACATTACTTACCTTATTAAACCACCTAACGTGAGACAGAGATCGCAGACATCTATGATCGAAAGCAGTCAACCTTTTCATGTCTTCAACGCGTATTGGCCATGTTTCAGAGCCATAGAGAAGGACGGAGCGAACTGATGAGCAGTACACACGTCCCTTGGTTGATAACCGGATGTCACGCCTACGCCAGAGATGGTGTAAGTCAGCGAAAGCAGCTCGAGCTTTTCGGATCCGTGCTGAGATTTCATCGCCAATCAGTCCGTTGGTGCTAATACAACTTCCCAAATAGGTGAAGTGGTCAACATGTTCTATCACTTCACTCCCTATCACTAAGTTAGGAGTTGACGTAGTCCAGTCCTGTAGCAGCATCTTACATTTTGCAGGGGCGAATCGCATGCCAAACATACGAAGATTGCTGCTCAAGGTGTTCAGAAGACTCTGCATTTTGTCAGCATCCTCCCCTAACAGGACTATGTCATCTGCATATTCTAAGTCCATAAGATTATTCCCTGGTAACAAGTCGATTCCTAAGTCACTACGTTCAGTTAAGGATACTTCCATCAGCATATCTATGATGAAGTTAAACAGAAATGGGGAAAGTGGACATCCCTGTCGGACACCACTGGTTGTTACCAATTCAGATGACAATTCCCCATAAGCCCTTACACGACTACGTGAGTTTGAATAGAGTGCCTTGATTAGTGCAATGTACTTTCTTGGCACTCCCTTCACAGTCAGACATTGCCATAGTACCTTTCGATCCACGGAGTCGAAGGCCGCCTTCAAGTCAAGAAATATGGCAATTGTTGGACGCCGAAAAGTGTGTCTATGTTCTAGAATCTGTCGAAGAGTGAAGATATGATCTATGCACCCTCTACCTGGTCTAAAGCCTGCTTGATTTTCCCTTGTCTGTTCCTCCCGAGTTCTGCTTAGTCTATGCATGATTACTGAGCCTAGGATTTTAGAGACTATGTTCGTTAGGCTGATCCCTCTATGATTATCACACGAGGACTTGTTTCCCTTCTTGAATATCGGTATAATAAGTGACTTACCCCAGTCTGATGGAACTGTCTCTGATTCCCAGACTTTGCCTAGTACCTCAGTTAATCTACAAACTAGTATGTCACCCCCATAATAATTCCGTCGGGTCCTGCCGCTTTGCTTCGTTTCAAATTACTGATAGCTTTTGTGACCTCACTTACAGACGGCGGACCAGTGTCTATATCCCATTCGGGTGTGTGTCGATGGCGGGGAGGTTCAGTGTGGCTGTAGGCAAGTTAAATTGTCCCTCAAAGTGTTCTTTCCAGCGTTCAAGGCGTCTATCCTGAGAGCTAATTAAGGAGCCATTTTTCTCAGAAATAGTCTCACTTATGATTTGCCTTCTCCCACCCGTTTCCCTGATGAGTCTAAAGAGTTGCTTATCGCCGATGCTTTTTCCATCTCTTTCGCCTTTGTCACCCACCACTGTTCACGGTCCTTGTGGAGACTTTTCGTAAGTTTCATTTTGTCCAGCTTTCGCTCCTCATTGAATTCGGAGATCGCCGGAATAAGTCTTCTAGCATCTATCAGTTCGGATGAAGAAGTTTAGGCACTCGGCCATAATTCAACTCCTCTTACAGTTTGTCAACTCATGCATCTTACCTATTCTTCACTTTTATTCTTTCCTGGATTGCTTAAAAAAGACTATGTTATACTTCGTAGAACTCTGAAGACTGTCAGTTGGGCGAGTGGTATCCCATTAGGCCATATTGCTGACATCGTCATTGATAGGCACTTGATTTCATGCAGCTTATTTGCTAAAGGAATTTTGTCAGACTGTGAGCACTCACTCTACTCGCAGCTCCAACCTTGTATCTCCTCAGGTAAAACAAGAAGTCTTTTCAAAAGACGTTATGCACGAACGTCTAAGTATAAAAATTCCACTATACCATATTTGACGGCACGTAATTTATGTAATAAAAAGTGTCAGGTATGAACTAACTAACATTCTTTACACTAGTAAATAAAACCATTTCCTCCACCCTTACAACATCAACCATTATCGTTATTGTAATTCTTATATTTACAATCCTCTCAGTTCTTTTTGTTTGTTTCCTCCCAAGTTCAAACATCATTTAAGCTGTGTCATAACTGTTCTTTTTTGTCTTTCCCTTCACCGTCCTATATCAACAGAACACTAGATTCAATAACCTATAACATGATGAAATTTCTAAACTGAATCGACACTAATGTTTGAAACAAACCCACTGTTATTATTATTTTCATTTTGTACTAGCCAATAATTTCTTCAGTAGTCGGTCAGGTGTTCGTGAACTCTAGTGTAGTATGAATTGCTAATGCATTAATCATTTACGTACTTTCTGTAAAGTGCCTAAACATGGTTAAGTGTAAATCAGACCAACAGTCTTTGGACTTCCTAATATGAGGTTTACACTTGACATACTGAGAAACACAGAGATGAATGGTAATCTCAGAAAGTTGGGCAGGCCTTCTATGACGGCTAACACATACTGACTGTAAAGTGACCGACTTTGCTTTGAGAAGTATACTTCGAAAACCCTACTTGTGTAGAACAAACTTGTTCACTTCTGACTAACTTGACATTAAGAAGCCTTCGCGCTACACAACGACAAGAATACAACTACCTAAGATAAGAAATTCTGACGACTCCCTTCGAGGATCGTTGGACCCTCCCACATACGGGCATAGCATGGAAGCAGTTCCAGCGCTTACACTAACGGCACGAGGTGAATCGCCACCACACTAATGATGACAAAGAACTGAGTGACCCAGATATTTGTGTTGCACACACCCAAGTGCTCAAAATGCACCAAGTTTGTTAGGCGATGTCAAACAAACAACTCCGAAACTACCACCTGGAAGTTGGTGATCACTATACCAAACCTCGAATTTCTTATTGCAAACAGCAGAAACGAATGGAAAAACTCAAGAATGGAACTAGTTTCCTCAATACCCTAAGTGCCATAGGAAACGACCGAAAACTTGTGTCGATCTTCAAAGCCTACACTGTATAAAGAGCCTAATAGTTTAGTGGCCTGATCCTCTTTGCTCTTAATAGACATGACGATTACTCTTTAGAATGAAGCCATGGTTCAGTGCCTTACGCACGAAGTTAAATAACTACGAACACGTTTAGATAGTAGATGCATCCAATAAAGTTACACATTGGTAAATAGTACCTACATTAGATGGAATCCAACCTCCTGTTTGCTTGTATCCGAATAAAACCTGTCGACAATCACCCAAAAACTAATGAACCTTTCTAAGACCACGTATCCCTATAGAATTCCCGTCAATGCTTCCACCAAAACCTCGCTGCACTTGATGTTAAGATCTTTGTCTTCTTACTCTGAGGTCCATTGTCAACCACTTAGATCAGATACCTATGAAAGATCTAGTAACTATGTTACGCTAAATGTTAGTGAATCTTATCCGTAGAACCCTTTACGTTTAGAATAACAAAATGATCACTATGTGATATTTCAATAGACATACATCCCATTTTATGAAGTAGTCACCAGAAACAATGGCGTTAAAGGGGTTCCTAACACCAACAGTCCTGACGAGGAAAGGATATTACATGGCCCGATGCTCCTAACACACCAATGCTTATATGGCTACATCCAGGTACGATGACCTGCTCCCAAGTACAATGGAGCGATTATGAATCTTTATTATCAAGTGAATGAAGCAGGATCCAGGTAGACCATTTCAAAATCTATGACTTAATTTTCAAGAAACAAAACTCTACTCTTGAAGTCCAGCCTAGATCCATAACGCCAACACAACGCTAAGTTAATGAATCGGAATATAATACTGAACTACTAATTAACATCACGACACTATATATATGACATGTTATTTAAACAGAAATGTGGTTACGACCACATATACCAAAGGAAGGAGTCTCGAAACTTTCTCTTTTTCCATTCGTCATTTGTAAAATTCCTAGTCATATAAGCTACAAACAAATAAATGCTAGGGACAAGACTGCTAAACTTAAGGTTGTTCCTTAACCAGACCCCGGATGTAGTGTTCATGTCAATTTTAATAAAAAGGCGAAACGATTCACCGTGCTAAACAACTTTATTTACTCAGCTTCGATTGACTCTTTGCTTGACACGTAAATACCATCAAGGAATTTCCGAATATCCTTGTGTCGTACCTTGCAGGACTGCTGAATAAGAGCGGCTGGAAAAGTAACGTATAGAAAATAGAGACTTACCACATCTTGCAACCTTCTCAATGTCATTGCCTTCGACTTGAATCTCATCTTTAACTCCAGTTGGAGATACCTTGACGCCTGAATCCATTGGGACATATTTGTTTGATTTTTCACCCAAAAAGTTGCGAATTTCTAGCTTCTTGCCATCAGCGACTGTGATCATGTTAATGGGGAAGTGGGCATAAACGGATTTCAACTTGTAACGGTATCCAGAAGTAACACCCTTTATCATATTCCCAATGTGAGAGCATACTGTCCGGACGGCAGCAAGTTCTTTCTTATTTCCAAAATATTTCGTCACAACGACCTTCTTTGGGGTAACCTTGATGTCTATGGGAAGATGACCAAAATCCCGTTTAAGTACTCCACGAGGTCCTTTAACATAAACCACACGTTTAATTGACTTCACTTTAATGTTGGAAGGAATTTGCACTGTTTCGGATGACTTTATGATCCTCATAATGCAGGAAATGAGAAGACCTTAGAATTACGACGAACACGCGCTACCACTGTGATAGCCGCCACAAAACACTGTACCAAACGAGGTCTTCATTCAATCCTCAATTGCATTGAAAGTGTATGAAAGGTTCACGTAACACTTTAAATAACTTTCTGTCTGTTTTGTTGTGGAAAAAATATTGAATTATTTATTATCTCATCTGCGACCGTGCGTACCTTAATCTGCAGCTGACATCAAAAGAAATTAATAACCTGTTTTAGGTTTCTTATTCTACTGAAGAATCTTATAAAAGCACTAGCGAATTGGGAGCCGTAACTCGCAGGAATGTAATGAAATTCTGGACAGGGTCGAGTGAGTGTGAGTGAAACTTTAACTAATAAAATACTATTCAGATGAGCATATTAATGTGTGATTAATAGGAAGGACACTTAATTCTGCAGCCATTTGCGTCTCTACACAAAATCCTGATCATCTATTTGTCGCAAAGCATCATTGAGAAATCTCATCATCGCCATGGGTTCTCAATGAAAATAGTCATAAGCATGTTGTTTCAATTAATCAACAAGCCAGTGAATTATACCTGAAAAGACGAGTTCATAAACGAAATAGAAGAGTCAGTGCTTACAGTCATCCTGTTTTATCTCAGAAAAGCCACTGGCAGCGGCTCTAAAACCACATTTTTTTCAATTCCAGCTGCCAGTGTACCCCTTTCTGGTCTTCCTTTCTGAAGTCAACATGATTTCGGTAACTATATTCCAACGTCTTGCCGTCTCCTGTCTTCATCGCTGTTTTACTAAAGTTGGTTGTCTCTCTTCAAAGATATAGAATCAGACATGTATTCACAAAAAATTATCAAGAATTTGACACGGTACATTAATCAGCAGATTTCTTCACAATTCTGATACCCTTTGTAGTCAAGAGTTTTCTCTAGGGAGAAATGTCATCTAACACACAAGAAATTCAGATTCTTTGAGTCCTGACTGGAACATGCGTCAAGGATTTCCTCTTTAGTCTCTGGAGGCCTAGCTAAATTTCTTCAAACGAAGACTAAATAATAGGATATGTGGGGTATTTTGGGGCTAAAGATGAGATACATGCGGTATTCTGTACCTTTATATAGAAAAGCAGATTAGGTAGTACTGACAGACTGAGGAATCTGACCGCTTGCATGAAGTAAAAGCATGAAGGCACAAGTCATCCACTCACAGGAATACGATTTAGGCACCAAAAAAGGCTTGTCATTTTCCGAAAATGTTTTGGTGCATATGTAAATGTCGTTCAGTAGAACCTAAAGTGTCCTTCTGAAGTTAAAAACGGCGAATGTTTCGTACGTATACTGCATTTCATAAGTCGAACGTTTGCGTAAATACTCCAGGGCGTGCTTTGTTCCCGTGTAGAGTCTGCCATCAAAGGGCCTAAAAGATACTGAGGCACGTGTCTAGGTGAGCGTGAGAAGCCCAGTCGTGAGTGGATTTACTTAAGTATAAAGTACAGCTCATAAGAATAAAGACGTTTCATAGCCCTCAATCAGTAGAATAATTATGTGTACAGAGAATGGAAAATAATAGTCAGTGGCAAGTTGGAACGAATAAATAATAATAATAATGTATATTCTCATATAAACATATAAATTTACATGAAAATGCATGCCATTTTTACAGGCACGATCAAGTATGATATAATATCAAATCGTAGATTGTCTACAAGTTAATAATGTTTCAACTGTTAAATATTTGATATATATATATAAATACACATTGTCTGAACTAGGCTGTATAGTTATTGAATTGTACAATTGTCCTCCAGGTTGAGCGGGAAAATCGACTTCGTTTCGTTTTCATCCCGTGGTTGTCGGCATACGATAACCAACCAATATTGAGGTAAGTACAACGTTTACAAGGGATTGAAAGCTGTTTTAGAAAAGTAAAAGTGCTGAGGTGAATCATTAAATTGTAATGAAATAGGTAAGTGCAAGTATCATTAATAAATGCATTAAAAAAAGAAAACTCCCTAGGCTGACAACGTTCATTTGCAATGTATAATGCAACACATATACCTCGTACTATCATGATGTCCAATTTTGGTTTTAATACATTTATCCTCAGTTGTGCCAGTTGTTTTTGTTTTATACCTTTTCGTGCATTTAATGTACAACCGTACCCTTCAGAGAGTAGGAATATAATAAGTCATAAAGAGCTGTAAAATGTTAGGTTTAATGGGATATAATGAGGATCAAGTAAAGACGTTATTGGAAAATGAATGAGATAAGACATTGTGAAGTGGTATTTAAAGATCAGTCAATGGACAGCAAGTTAGTTTATAAGATGCCCCATAAAACTGTGCACATCCCACATGGTCGCATCTCAACAATAGGCTGGGTGAATGGTATATATTTAGAGGTAGAAGCATGATCTGTCAAGGCGTTCACTATTATCTTTTTCAAGATAAAGATCTAAGCCCTCATAAAAATCAGAAATATCTCGAGCCTTTAATTTGTATATTGCTGTTCCTGCAGAATGGGGCGATTCACCTTAGTGACCCCCACCATATCTACTGATCAGCTAACGCCACCCTCCCTCCTTTTTTGATGTTAAGCTCTGAGACTATGATTATTATGGCTACTGCAAATATATTGCTTGGTACCAGACATGTTCGTACCTCATATTCCATCTCCCTAGCTTTCTTAATGAGTGCTTCCAATAGGTCTCCGCGTACATCTTTATGAACATTATATATGTATGCATGCGTCCTAATGAACAGATTACTTTACAATAAGTTAGAACCTTAAAGAATAAAAAGAATAGGTTTTGTGAATAGTGAAGCAAGATTCAGCAGAACAATATAGTTAGGGATCAATATAGGTAGTATGAACTGAAGGTAAGGTCGGTTGGCAGGACTTAGTGTACTAAATTATCATGACAGTCTTATATATAGTCAACATTTGACATTGCAAAGTAACCTGTCTACATATATTATAAAAAGATATTAACAGAACCAACAAAATTTCATCATTTGTTTAACAATACTACAGAAGGGTAGTTAGTACTACAGGTAATCGTAAAGTAAATCAATCTATGTATAATAAGAGCATAGTCAGTGTCATAATTCGTATTATCAAAGAATACATTAGGCTCAATAACTGAGTGTTATAAGGGAAACAAGCATGGTAAAGCAAGAGAACACATGCCGCATAGCTATTTTAATCATTTTAAGTATTTTAATGACAATCGAATTTCAAGTATTGAACCTACATAATTACTAAGTGTTATTATATTGGTATTGGGACTAGTGTACTTTCCGTAGTTAAATATTGAAAAGCCATTGTCTCTCCACTCTACCAGCAGTTGAGATCTTTGAGGCGGGTTATCACAATAACTGAAAAATCGATATCTTAAGGCTGTTTAAATCTTCGGGAGATTCAGATATTTTACTTCAGGGGCGGAAAACGTATTATCCAGTAGACATTTTCGGAACCTCAGTTGGGATCTGTTACCGGCTGAACATAACAAAGATGAATGATTTTTCTGGTTTAGGAAAGCAAGCCTTAAACTCAGAATCCTTCATGCAAAGTAATTAACTGACTTCTAAGGCTCAAAGATTAGGTATACAGCTTATATTTCCCTAAAAGTTGTTTAACTTTCATTTACACTCGGACGTCGTACTCTGTGTCCATGAACGAAATTTCTTTGATAATCTTTATGATGACGCGGAATTACTTGTACCCATTACTTACAACTCAAACAACCCGGAAAGTATGTCAGTTTCTTCATTATCGTAATTTCCGGCTTGTATTTCTGTGCTTAATCAGGTACTCTAACTGATGCTATTATCACCTAAACGCCTCCAAAATCATCAGAGGGAATGTTAGATTCTTTATTACCTATGCTTTGAAACATACATAACACAGAGGAGAAGAGGTAACACAATTATTTTTAGCTGAAGTATTACCACATCCACATTGAAAGACAAAATTTTTTGACCACACATGCAAGTAAAAATCTCTTCAGTACCACGCTCACACGTAAACCTACATTTTAATGGTCAGCTTAGTACATCCTCATATTCGCCTGATAATTCCGTTTTATATTAATAAGTTACCGTACTTCCCTGTTTTAAGGAAAAGATATCTTCATAATGTGATTGTTAATCATTCTTCTTTTCCAGGTTAACTCAAATCACAAGGAATTTCTTTATGTCAGCCAGTCCCAAAACATGTTCCACCAATCAAGACTTCCAATATATTGAGACGCCAGTATGACTCCAGAAACACGGAAGACACGGCCATATTCGTATCACTTCTTACTCATACAATACCATTAAAGACCCTCAGCACAGACAGTAAAATACCCCTGAAACTATTGGGGGGCCAATGCATTCAATAAGTTACGCAATCCTCGCATTGTGACATAGAAAATCGGTGTCCAGGGGCAAGCCAATGGGACCCAGCTCAGTGTTCCATCTGGAGACGACGAGTCGAGTAAATTAAACAGAAATGGACAACATTCGGTTTTGTTCTCATCAATACCCTCGCATGTACTAGCGGTCAATCTGATCAAAAGTATTGTTAAGATCAGATGGAATTTGTTCATAAAACACAGAATGAGTAACACGCCTGTCAACTTGTGTAGGCTGTACAAGGCAACCCACCATCACTATGCATAGGGCTGATATGTGCCAAGGGTGCCTTCTCTTTCCAGTTCTGGTAACTCAGAGACCCGTGAACGTAACAGCCCGGTCTGAAAGATTATGGACGGTCGTGTGAACGGTTAGGCAATCACTCGAACTAGTACGTTCCACCTTCATACGTCATACGCAGTACTGTGCCATTGAAAATCGGAAAATTTCGGTAGTAGAGCACACACAATACATATATCAGCGGAAATTGTTTTCCTACTGTCGATCTGGGGCATAGCTATAGGCTCCCTTATCCTCCCCGTCGCACAACAGTCAACTCACCGAGGAATCTCAGCGTAGTGGGACATAAGAATAAAGTTCTTCATCACTGGTATGGGGTCAAATACAGGGTCAGTGAGGAGGTAAGATGTTGAAACAGTCAGTACCGAACCATTAGAAGCGGAATTTTAAAGTCTTTCGCTCCAGTGA